ACCATTACAGGGCATTTATAAGTACACAGGTACAGGGCAATTGATGACAGAATGTAGAGATTACAATAAGATTCTGAGGTCATCACATACAGAACAGATAAAGAAATGTCAGTCAATCACACTGTAACAATGAGATTACAATATTTCTAATTGCCTGTATTGACACTTGAACCCATCTCCAGGTCTGCTCAGACATGCAAATTCAAGCTACTAGAAACTGTTTATGATAAGCTCAGACCCTTATCTCGACTCTAAACTTTCTGCATGATCAGGGCACATGAAGCCCTCTGGGCTATCAAAAGATTATTGTAAACTGAATTCCAACAATGACTATTTACAATGTATATTTGGGCTAAAATGGCTTACTGTAGCCTACTGCTAAAGGTGAGAGAAAGGAGCACGGAATGCCATTTTAAACAGTGACAGCTTGGTTTTGAGAAGGAAGACAGGATTTGATCCCACAATGCAAAGGCACACATGAGTAATGCTTTTCAGACAGGATTTACCCAAATTTTCCCAGCAATAGGTGCTAGAGGAGCAAGATAAACATATTTCAGATTAATAGAATATGTAACATTTTTATTAGTGTTTAACTTGGTAAGCTGCTTGGAAGGCTGAAGGGCAAACAAAAATAAAACAAGATAAAAACAATAAGAAAAATAAATATGCACGAATATATGACAATAATAAACAATCTGTTGTTTTTAGATCTGTTGGACTACCACTCCCAGAATCCCCCAGCAAGTAAAATTAGCATAGACCCTCACTTCTGAATAGCGTAAGGTTAGTGATTGATAAAGCCGGTAGACCTGTGCGCATGAGGGAGGAGCAATGGTAGGAAGTGGAATTAGCGCTTGCGCAGTGATAGAAACGAAGCCATAGGAAGCTTCTCACACGCGCGGGTTATTCTTTTGAAAGCAACGAGGGCGGAAGTGGCGTCACCGCAGCAGCGCGTGTACGGCTATTGTGGCAACTTAGGCGCGCGTGGTGAGAAGGCAACAGCATGGACCAGTTTTCGGTCTCTTCGATGAGCGACGATTCAGGCCTTGCGGGGTTGAAAGTGATGGAGCAGCTGCAGACGCTGAGCGTTGCCTCTGAGGAAAGCCTCGGCTCGGCCGCGACCTGTGCAGCGGGACCTGTCTGGAAGGAAGGTGAGGGAGCAGCCCTTGACCGTCGCTCCGCGGAAGACCCCCCGTCCTTGCCGGGTCTGCCTGAGGAGGCGCAGCCCGCGGAGGCCGTCCCCAGTGGAGGCGACGTTGAGGAACGGGCTTCGCACCCCCCGGGACCTTGTCTTGGCCTGGTGGAGCCCTCCGGCTTCGTCCCCGTAGAGTCCAGCTCCAGGGACGCGGCGTCCGAAGGAGAGCCGCCTCCGCTCGGAGATACCTCTGTCGAGGGCTGGACGGAGCCGAATTTTAACCCCGGAGCGAGAGGGGAGCCGGACCCTGAAGCTGCTGAGAGTCTGCGCCACTGCCAGGAGGTCCCTCGTGAGGGCGAGGACCAGCCCTGCTCGGGTGGGGAAGTGGAGGAGAAGCCGCCCCCTGGTTCCGACAGTGCTTCCTCCGCTGCCCTACTGAAGTTGAACGGTGGCCCTGAAGGAGGAGGGATCGCTTGCTCCTCAGGTCCAGAGGTGCTAGAGGGTGAGAAGGAGTCGGCAATGGAAGGCAGCAGCGCCTCCTCGGAATCAGAGACGGAAAGGTCGGTGATTGCGTCCCGTTAAATTTGTAACGGCAGAATTTACTTTAGTCTTCACTCCCCCCCCTTTGTATGTGATACCTTGAAGAACTATGCAAACTCTTGATGCATTTTATTAAACCTTTTTATCCCAACTTTCCACCTTAAAACATATATATAAGCTTGTAAACTGTCTTTGCAGCTTTATATTCTTGTGGACGGAGTATGCTAATATGTCCAGATTGCATATGAGCATCAGGACAAGGATGTGGCATCAGGATTTGAAAGTTAGTGCAAGAAAATCAGCCATTTGTGGATGTCAAACTTCCTGGAAAGCAGTGAAGGAAAACGTGTGTTATACTCTGCAGTTTGTTATTCAGATATGCCTGACTTTTTAGGTACAGTAAGACTGAGGACATACCTTTCTTAGTTAAAAGTACTTTCAAGCCCAGTTTGGGGTATTGGTTTTACCCTGTAAAGCCATACTTAGCTTGAGACTAATACTTGATGGCACACCTCTGTTAACTAAAAATTACAAACAAGACTTTTCTTATTTCTCACATTGAAAAGCGTTTCACTTGGTTGCAAGCATGTTTTAGCAGGCTACAAAAGGCAAAGTTTTTGCCATAATAGGGCTCTTGCACACAACACAAATCTTTTTTTCTTTCCCATAATAGATAATGTCTTCCCTGAAATGTCTTTCCTGTTTTGGAAAAATATGGCAGGATATATGTTGAAAAAAAATTTTCACTCTTGTGCAGTGATACGGATACAGACAGTTCTACCTCCTCTTCTTCTTCCGGTCTTCCAATGTTGTCTGAAGATGATCAGCAATATAAGAATGGAAATAACTCTTGCTCTCCTAGAAAAAAAGATGGAATGTCTGAAGTAAGTATATCTGAAAATCTTCTTCATACTGTCATCATAAGCCAGAATTAGTTGTTGCTTTGGGAGAGGCATGATTCAAATTTCTTTTGTGGAGATGATAGGAAATTGTGTTTTGAGGGGTATTGAACAAGATAGGAATGGTAAGAGTGAAGGGGGCTTAAACTCTCCTTGTTTGATTATTATTCTTTTTAGATGTCTACATTGCAACAGTTTCTTCTTCTTGGCAAGCCACACTCAGTTCATACTCAGCATCGAGTGTATCTGGACCCAGTCAGTTTCTTCCAGCCACCCTCCCTGCACTTTGACTTACTAATATTCTGGGCCCCCCAGATTAGGGATGTTGAGGAATTGGTATTGGGGCTGGATGGATTTCCTGGGTTCCAGTTCCAGGACTGGTCTGCTTTGTCATGGCTCTGAGTCTGAGTTCCTTGCAAGTGTGCCCATCATTTGTGGGGTGCTGGCCAGGAACCAAGCTCCATATGCTGCTCAAATAGCACCCTCCTTCCATGCCATGTGCATGCTGCACTTGACACAGAAGAAGGTTGCTTACATGGGGATCTCCAGGGATGGAACCCCATGTGACTGTTGTGCAAACAGCATCTCTCTTCTGCATCACATGCAGCAGCTCTGCTGCACCAAATGCAGAAGGAGGTTGTCCATGCAGAGCTCACCAGAACTGGAGCTTCATATGACTGCTGTGCAAACAGTGTCCTTTTCCTGTGCCATCTGCAGCAGCCTTTATGCTGTTGCACCTGAAGAAGCTTGCCAGTTGCATAACCTTCATTTTGCAATTGTTTGTGGAGTACTTCTTGTCTTGCCTAACTTTCCAAGGCTAGGCCAAGTATGTGAGGAAGTCCAGGAATGCCAAAAGGCCAGATTTTGGTGTGTTTTGTCCCAATCCTACCCTAAGTTAATGGGGCTGTTTGCATGTAATGCTTTGCCATTGTGAGCTAATTGCCCTATGGAGCCTAGAGTATTTAAGCCATCATTTTGAATATACTGGTGGGGGTGGGTGGGCAGCATGCTTGTAGCTTGTTGTCTTGTGCAAGCCATGGGCTGTTTGAGAGGCTACACAACCTTCCAATAAGCTATAATTTGTTTTAAGGTTATTAGAGGATTGTTGAGCCCCTGGTGGGTTTGCTTGACACAGCATAGTGCTTCAAGCAGGGATGCCCATGGGCACCCAATGCACCATGACAGCCTGTGGCTAAATTGAATTCCAGGAGACTGTTGTATTCTGTCAGTAACAAACCATGTCTTCACACATGCATGCTTTGCCCCCTCCTCAGCCTTAGCCTAAAGGGAAACAAGTAGTGACTTGCCTTGAGTGGTTTGTTTACTTCTCTTCAACTGATTGTGCTGCTGATGAGGAGGTAGTCATTCTGTGCATGCACAGTCATTGCTGCTCTTGAGGATTTGGAAGGGAGACTATCAAAAAATCACCTCAATAACTTGTCTTCCCTTGGACACAGTTCATATCCATGTGCAAATTTCATGAACATTGAAAGTTGTTTGCCAGTGAGCATTAAATTGAACTTTGCAGACTGAGCTTATATGTATATCACAGAAATAATTAGAAATGGATTATTCAGGATGGGAAATAGTAGGATTTGTACTTTAGCATAAAAATAAAACTTGAAAAAATTTCAGCAGAATCCATTTCCTGTTGAAGATTTGATAATACTTCTACCTGAATCTGTTGAACTGATGTCCTTTGGGAAAGTTTCCAGCATCATTGAGCACCTAGGTAAGCAATATTTGTGTGTTTACATTATTAAGAGACAGTTAGCTGCTTCATTTTGGGGTTCATGTGGTGTAATATTACTATTCGTGTGGATGTAACAGCTATAGTTCAGTGCAATAAGATTGGCAGAACTTCTGACAAGTAGATTTGTCCTTCTTGATTATACTAGCAGTATTTTTATATTTAACCTAGATGTTTTTCTTTCCACCCTCATCCTGTTCTTTCATGCATGTGCGCGCGCGCACACACACACAGAGTATAGCTATATGTTATGCTAAATAAAACAGAATACTGAGTATGCACATTTATGCATTTATTTAAAGAAAGATACTGCAAACATTTACAGGCATTAATAGTAAAAATGTAACATTTTGTAACTTCAGACATGCCAGCAAGCAAAGGAATGCACTTATGCAGCAGCAGTGTGTAATCAACATATTGGAAGCCCAAACAATGAGAGTTAACATTTACAGAATTGCAAGAAAACCACATACCTCTTTTATAAGAGCATCCCAAGAAAACCTCTTTTATAACCCTAACTAGCTACACATCTGCCCAAATAAATGTATGTTGTGTGTGATATAATGCAAATACAATCCACATATAAATGCAGAAAAATAATTTTATTGATCATACACACACAAACAAATGCTTATACATTTTACCAAGCATTTGTTGTTCCAATCTGGGTATAACCCATCCTAGAAAGGTTGTCTGGGGGTGATTAGTTAGAATTGGAGCAATGGGACAGTGCAGAGTTTAATTGAGAAACTTTGTACCTTAGAAGAGAAGCCAGTATTTGAGAGCAGAAAAAACTTTAACAAAAGGATTGGTTGCTACACTTTGTGTGGTGCAATTACTGATATTTTAGTGTATGTATGGGTTTGTAATTAAGAGCTATTTAACAATACCAGCAGGTTTCCATAGCTAGATGGCAATCCTAAATAATATTCTATTTAATAGTTCTTAAAATAATTTTACTTTGGTGATTTTATGTTTAAATACTTATAGTGGTTGTTGGTTTATTCTATGTAAGTGCAGCTAGATTTGACCAAAACAGATAATGTGACAATGCTAACAGGCATACACTAGGATTACAAGGCTAGCAGCAATATAGTTATTCTGTGTGATCTTGTTGGCAGTTTGCTGTGCCTCTGCTCATTCTGTTGCATTGGAGACTAACCATTAGTGGAATAGGAATCTAGTGCTTCTTAAACCAACCCAGAAAAGGGTGAAAACACTCAGTTCTGGCATGGGATAGGTCAGAAGAATTCCTTTGCTGATCTGCCCCAAACAGTTGTTTCTGCTTGTTTCATGAATTAACTTTCCATTTTGCTGGCAATGTGTTCCACACATATGCAGTGGAACCCATACTTTATACTGGCATTTAAGTATTAACCACTTCCTACAATTGAAATTCTGTCTTATCCTGAATAAAAAAAGATTAGAGGCAAACAAGATTTGTCTTGCCACAGCTGGCTGTCCTATTTTAAGGATGTTACTCAAAAATATCCATTTGTATCCCACAGGGTTAAAATGCACAAAATTATTGGGCTGTTTGGCCTTTGAATTTTTCTTGCTGTGGTAAATATCCTTTATTTTTGCAACCAAAGGGTTTGCTGAATCTGTAAAACTATAACTAGGCTATACCACTTCAAAATGCTGGCAGAAGCTCAAATGATTGAATGCTTCTACAAAAAATTCCTGCACATAGAAAACATAATATCAGAACAAAAGCTTCTGTTTATTCCCCCTGCATCTCCTTTCCTTTGTACAGCAGGAGAGAATATTATATCTCTACATGAGCCTTCACTTGTAGTCCTTTCTGGACCACTGCCCCCCCCCCCCCCCCCAAGAAAAGACAAAGTTTTACAGTGGTGTCAGAAATGACGGAATTTGTTGGGAAGTATGCTATATGTTAGGGGTTTTGAACTTCTTTCTGTTCAAAGGCCAGATTCATTTTTGGGGACAGTGTTGGGGGCTCCACTGTAGTAGGCAGTGTGGAACTGAAGGCAAAAGGTGGTGGAAATGAAAAATGCTAGTATATTATGCTTCTGAGCTTTTCTGTAACTAAGATTTAAAGAGACACTTAAACTTCTTTAGAATGGACCAAAAAAACCAGTACAAATGCTAGAAAGCCACCAAATGGTCAGAAAAAAGGTGGTGCTTGGGGAATCCTAGAGAGGTACAATTTGGTCCTCAGGTCCAATTTTTTCTGCTGCTGTTGTACATAATTCATTCAAAACAAATTATCAAGCTTGTATTGAAGCAACACAGGTGGAATGAACAACTGCAGGAAGTGAAACAGCTTTTTTGTAATTCAGGCAGGAACAGTGCATTTAGCACAGTTTTCAGTAAATTTCTGTATCTTGATTACCATTTTAAGACATCAGAATTTCTTTTTTTGTCTTCCATTCCACATGCTACTGCCTGCCATTTTTTCCTGCTTGTTTCACAAATTGGTAACTTTCCATTTTGCTGGCAATGTGTGCCACATGTATTTAAAAACCCACCACATCAGTTCTACTGAGGCTAATTTGGTTTGAACTGACCTTGAAGATACTCCCCATTGATGAAGTAGGATATATTTTTTCCTCAAAATATTTTCTTGCAGGTATTTTTTAAAATAGATACTTTCTTAATTAATATTTAGTTAGTCTAGTTCTTTCAAGGACAAAAATATGAACCATAGTTGGATCCACCAAACACAAACTACTGCATTAAGTCTGAATATATGTTGATTGCTGTGTGCTCTTGATTAAAAGTAAGACACATGCAAGTCAAATCATGCTGAACATTGTGAATAGTAAAATGAGAGGTACCTTGAAAATGTAATTAGTATAACTATGCATTTAATTGCAGCCATTTTCATTCATATTCTAGCCAATATTCTTATCTTCAATTTAATTAATACAGTACATAGGAAGAAACAAACCTACTCAAAGGTCTGATTTGTATGATCTGACAACCCATTGTGTGTCATCTGAACTCATACAGCTGCCTGCTGGGGGAGCTTTTTTTTTTTTTAGCAACAAGCTACTTTGACAACCCATGGATTGTTCTGCTCTCTAGTGCCATTTGAAAATGGAAGAGCAGCATTACAGGGATCTTCTAGTGAGCCACTCAGCAAGAATGACCCAACCCCCTGCAGTTTTTCATGATTTTTTCCTTTGCTGGTCAATTGAAAAGCATTGCAAAAGAGAAAAGTGCCAAAGTAGGTGTATCAAAAGTGTGGGTGTATGGTGAACAGTATCTCCGATTTGACAGTGTAATTAAGTTGCTTTTAAGTGCTGAACTGATACTTCTCAGTTCTTCCCACAGCAGGGGAGAACTGATAATCTGTTAGGTGCACTGTCGGTTGTTCCACCAATCTATATGTGGCTTTTGCTCAGTATTGGTTCAGTTTTCAGAATGGATAGGCTAGTGGTAGAAAGTATAGTTGCTATAAGAAAGAAGAAAGTAACCTTAAAATGTGATGTTAACATTAGCAAGTATTCAAATGTTTGGAGTAGCTATTTGATAATTTGAACAAGTAAAAGTTGTTCTATAAATTCAAAGCAAAAAGTTGGAGGCCAGTGTTGTGCTGTGGGCCTTTTTAGAAAACTTATTATTGTATTTCTGTAGATTAGACTTTTGGATGAAGTGGGTGTGAGATAAGAGGATGGCAACTACCAGACTCTTGTTGCCCATCTACTTGCTGCCCATCTGCAAGCCTGGCAAACCCTGTTACAGGAGGATTTCTTCATGTTCTCTGCTGTGTCAGGCTGTCTCTGTTTTGGTGTTCTCTAGAGTTTATGAAGAAGTGTATGACTGTGAATTTTTATCTGGAGATTATATACTTAAATAGTCTATACCATATGAAATTACTTTCTTTAAAAAATTTACTCTTTGTTTCACAGTATTCCATGTACAGAGAGATAGAGCAATATGATAGGCATCTGTTTGCTAAAATTGCAATTGGCATAAACAACGTTCTAATTTGTAGCAATAAATAGAGCAGTACTAGAAAATGTGTGTCTGCTAACGATATTGTATAGGATCTGTTTGCATATAACAGCCACCTACCTGAGGGTTTTGTGGGGACAAGCAAAACAGGAAGCTTGCCTCTTCTAGTTTTACCACTTCAAATCATCTTGTCTCTAGGCTGTGAGGAATTATGTATAACCTGGAGGTTAACCCAACAGTGAACCATAGGTAAACCACTGGATTTTTCTTATCCTCTAAACCCTTAGAGGTTGGCATGTGGGAGGCAGTGAGCTCACTTATGCTGGACCAGTGGGTTGTAATTACATGCACATCAGGTAGTCCTCTCTGAACTATTTGATCATAGTACCTGCAAAGGGGTGCTGCTGTCAGCTCTTCCTATGGGGTGATTATGGTTTGCTGTTTTGTCTAAATGGCCATTTCTTGCACTTTCTTTTCTCCCCATATGCCAGCATGTGACATATGCAAGACCTCTTCTCTGCAAGCTGTGCTCTTTCATTGTGCTGTCAGCACATGCAAAGGCAAGCAACAGATTGCATAAGCCTAACAGTATAAGTATTGGAGCCCATCTTCAGGGCCAGAATTGCCCCATTTCTAAAGTGAAAGTTATGTTATATAGTGTGCTTATGGACAAAACCATATCTTCTGTAAGTTCCATTTTTAATTCTGAAATAGAAATGTAATAAATTTAATTGCTTGTTGGCTTGCTTCATTGCTTGAAATCTAAATTCTGGCATTAATTACATGCTTTATCCATCATTGTAGCTACCAATCCTTATTAGAGTTTAAAGCAGTTCTGTTTAATTTGAGGCTAGTGGAACAGACTTGAGTTAAACTGGTGTTCCTTAGCTTTAACAGAAATGATTTTGCAAAAGGTCCTTTAGCTGTAAAATAATTTCTTTTTAGTAATAATTGAATCACAGAAAGGGCTTCCTCCAGTGAATGAAGATACTGTGCTTTTCAAAGAAGATCGTCAGTCAGTAGGAAAGGTGAGCAGATCACAGATTCTTTGCTCTGTTCATGGTGTGTTTTATGTATTTTTAGTCATCTGTTGCTACTGGATTTGAAAAGGATTGGTGGTGAGGGACACAAATATTGCTGAAGAGGTACTAAATATTACTAGAATAAAGGTACTATCCATATATAGCAACAGCAATCTTCGAAAGTTATTTTATATGTTTATCTGATTTGCAAAAATGCCTTGCCATATTTTGGGGCAGAGGCTGCTGCTGTTATAAAAATGTAGCTCAAAAGTTTGTCTGTCTTAGTTTGCGAACCTGATAGCAGGCTCACAGGGCTTCTAGTACTGCATTTTATTGGAAAATAGATGAACTTGAGTTGCCTTATTAAACATTCAGGGTAGGAAAGGTTAGCAAGTTATATGGATAAATATAAACTAAACTGTGAGTGAAACTTGCAAAAGACCACCATCTTTCAGTTAGATAAATAATCCTAGGATAAGCAAGATCCTAAAATGTTAGAAGTTAGCCTACACTTAAGCTGTCCATCCTATCTCTAGCCTTGTTAAATCATTTGTGCTTCATAATTTGTTGTTGCATTAAATAGTATGCTAAATATACACTAACACCCCCTTCCCAGCAGCTTCAGGGAGAACCAAATGATTATTGTGCAGTTTTTTCAGTTTTGACTAACATATGGTGGACGAGTAGACAACCTTTTTTGTTTTCAGGTTTTTAAAGTATTAGCTTCATCATATAGGATCTTGAGAAATCTAAAACTTTAACAGAATGGTATCTTACAAAATTTATTTTTCCCTTATAAAAATAGTTGTTGATATTCATACCTGGTGAACCAGCTGCTTAGAGCTTGTCTTTTGGTAGCTTTTTTTTTTACTTTTAGTGAAGGGGTAGGTGACTGTTTTGGGCACATCGGCACATTTGACCTTTGAAAGCTGTCCCAAGCACCCCCACAAAATGGATATGCTGAAGATTAAAGCATCAGTCTGCTATTCTTCATTTCCTAAGAATGTCTTAGCACCCCATGTGTGACGCATAGGAATTCAGGGGCAAAGAAGATGGGAGCAGCTGGGTCCGCTCACCTTGCTGTGAAGCAATCCCAGCTGCCTGCAAACTTTTTGTTTTTTTTTTTGTTTTTTTACTATTAAGAGTAAGTGGAGTAGGGTAGTTTAGCAGGTGCCAGTGAAGGTTTTCCGTGTATATTTAAGGTTGTGTTTCAGCGTTTGGAGAAAAACTGCTTACAGTATTTTACAATGGATGCTTCAGAGTTCTTGTCTTCCTTTCCAAGAGGGGTTGTGCAATTATGGAATTTGTTTTAACCTATCAGCATTCATTGTTTTGCAGATATTTGAAGTCTTTGGTCCAGTGTCACATCCCTTTTATGTAGTACAGTTTAACAGTCCTGAGCATATTGAATCTAAAGGTATTAAAATACACGATGCAGTCTATTTTGCTCCATCGGTTGAAAGCTTCACGCAGTATATATTTCCAGAAAAACTAAAACAGTAAGTCTAGATTCTATAAAATTTGTTTTGTCTCGAGTGTCTCAACTCTTTCTTAGCAGGATGTCTTTAATGATGAATTCCAACAAGCTTAGAGATACATTTGGTATTAAAGTTACCCATTGGTCTTCATCCATTCCCATATATAAATGAGACTTTATATGTGCTAACACAGGTTTTTCCATTTGAAAACCTAGGTATCCTCTTAGATCCTCATTTTGTCCCTCTCTTCATTTTCCTCTTAGTTTTCATTGCTCTGAAGGCTTTTACTTTTTGATGGTCTAATGCTGCCTCCAGAGGACCCAAAAAGCATTCTTGAACATAATGTAATTTTTTAGAATTGGACTTTCACATGAAAACTTCTCCTTGCACTGCACTTAAATCCTGATTGCTATCTTCTCCTGGAAGGCTATTTAACCAACTCTCTGAAATAAAGATGAAACTTATCTCTCCTCCTGCAAATCTTCAAATGCTTCAGTGATCACCAGGATGCACCTCATGCTGCACACAAATATGTGCGGGAAGATTATGAGGAAAGTGTCCTCACCACTTCTGTGTGTCCCAGTGAAGTTGATAAATGGGCTTTATTGTTGCCATCACCACTGCGGTTCCTTTTCAGACCAATTTATGCTGTCTTTAATTTGCACAGATTTGTACAAATGTCCCTGATGTTGTCTGTACCATTCAGTTGCCTTCTAAAATGTAGGGGAGATCTGTGCATATTTAAAGCTGGGCATTAAAAGGAGAAATTTGTGAAATCCAAAGGCTTGGAGCCATAGCCAGAGGGCACTGATGGAGTGAGGGAGAATGGTGGTGACAGCTAGGAATGAAGGGAAGTGATGATCCCAGCAGTAACTGCTTCTAGAAAGAGCCTCAGTGGGAAAGCAATCATTTCCATTTCTTAACTTTGTTGAGGTTTGGGAAACCATTGTAAGCTGCCAAGAGTCAGTTCAAGGTTTGCTAGTGAGATAATATTGCCATTTGAATATATTTTAATATCCAAGTAAAGTAGAACATTTAAAAATAGATGGTATCTGTTACTGTAACTCCTATTCCTTATTCCTAAGATTCAGGCTGGATAAAGAAATAAGTAATTTGTTTCAGAAATATGTTGTTAAAGCATTTAAATGTCACTCAGGGTCCTGTTCCTCTGGAGTTCAACTGAAAAGTTCTGTCAAGTCTACCTGATCTTTCTGTTTTGATGCTCCACATGCACTTGAAACAGTGTGAAGTCTGTAGAATATAATTCAGATGTAATTATTTTGTCATGCCATATGTTGCACACAAAGCCACGGTCAATATATTTATATAAAACAATCCACATATTCAAAATATTTAACATTTGTTATGTAATTTTTGTAACAGTCCTTTAAGGTGTAGCACTGTTAGCACAGTGTAGAAGATGGGACGTCTTGGGCTAAATGTAATGTCTTGCCTAAGGCTTCATAGTAAATCTGTGATAAAGCTGATTTTAATCATTGACCTCTGGCTTCTTAATAACTGTGGTATGCAATTTAATTTTCTCTCAAATGGATAGTCTTCCTCACAGAACAAGCTTTTGGGAAATTGGCCTTCAAATTTTCAGGCTTTTTCTTCACCCTTAAGAAGGTACTTCAAAAAGAACAATAGAGTTCCTAGGATGATGACACATTCTTGGGTGATTTGATCTTGTGTTAGTCAAGGTGTGTCTAGTATTTGGATTATGGAGTTGATGGAGACTCTGGAGGGTAGAAGTATATCAGATCATATAGTTAATGTCCAGTCCATAGAATTTATTTCCACTTTGTTCTGTCTTCTAGAGAGAGAGGATCTGATGCATCATGGAAAAATGATGAAGAACCACCACCTGAGGCAAGTACCTCTTTTCACTACTGATTTTTCACTTAATATTTATACGTAGTTCTAGTGGAAAGTGTATTTGGAATATATTTAAAGAAATATTGCATTCAGAGAAAACAATTTACCATGTATCTGATGTTGAGTTCAATATTTAGTTTCAGAAAATGAATTTCTTTTAACTTACTAGGTGAAGAATCACTTGAAGTTAGCCTCTTTGCTTTTAGAGATGAAGCTATAGAAATGTCTGCATCTTTGGCTCTTTTCAAAATTAATTTGAGTTATTTATCACCATATATCAGTACTGTTTTGAATCCTGATTTTCAAGGCAAAATTGTGTCATAGTCTGGAAAGTTTTAAAGTACATTCAACTTCAGAAAGAAGTGTCTTGGATCAGCAAGATCCAAGCAAGTGTTGAGAGATTGTCCTGAACTGTGTGTGCGTGACATGGAGCGCTGAAGAGAAAGAGGCATGCCTGACAGTCTGTGGGAGGTCTGCCTCTGGAGAAGACTGCCACTTGATTTGAGGGAGGGAGGGATTCCCCAATTCTTTCTCAGATGTCTGTGCTACAGCCCAATCTTCTGTAGAATCACCCAACCTTCCATATCATTTTGGGGAGGAGGCCTCTGAGGAAGTTGAAGGACTGGTGCATTAGCTTCCAGGAACTGCTTTCTGCCAGGGTGCTGTTGGTTGTCACCCAGTATTTCAAAGCACCAGGCATCCTGGTATTACCTGTGATAGTCAGTGAAGTGGAATCACTGGTATTTTTTTGTTCAGTTGCCATTTTTAACAGAAGTTATCTTATCTAGGCTTTAGATTTTAGTGATGATGAAAAAGAGAGAGCAGCCAAACAGAAGAAATCTCAGAATTTAAGAAGAAAGAAGTTCAGATCACAACAGGATAATTCTAGTAAGTAGCTATTATATAAAAATTGAATGTTGGACTTTCAAACAAAGCATAAAAACACAAAAGACCAGTTTAACCTGTGGGTTATTATATCAGTATATTCCCTGTAAACCTAAGCCCTTAATTGGCAAAAGTCTTTCCAACTCTATTGTTTTAATGCAAAATAGAAAGAATGAGCTTGTAGGACATGAGAGAGTAATAATTAATTAAGCAAGTTTGAAGTAAGCAGTAATTGTATTGTGCCAGCCAGTATGATGGTTAGAAGTCCCTACCACTTTGCAAGAAGAGTGACAACAAATCACAGTAATGGAATAGTAGAAAATCTGAAGACATTTGTAGAACTCTTAAAAACTTTTTGAAGGGACTGCTTGAAGACATGGGGTAGGCTTATTTTCCAAATTACTGTTATGCACTTTCCTCTGATCACCAGTGGAGCCTGTGCATGTGAGAGAAAAGTGTATCAGCGTACACTTTGTTTCTTCCACGAATTCACCCTTAGCTTATCTAAAGCTACCAGCAGACCTTAGAACTCCCACTAAATACCAGTCCAGCCCTGCCCTTCATATGGCTTCACATATTTCTTCCTGGCTTTCACTTCAAATGGTCTCTCTCCTAAATATTAGAGGTTCAAACTGTACATTTTAAGGCAAATAGATGGGGGTAGATAAGACTATAATAATACAGCATTTGGTTTGACAAGTGAAAATTGTGGTAAGCTTCAGATGCCTCTTGAAAATATGTTTGCTCACTAGCTTCTGCTGACTTGCAATCAGTTATGACACAGTTCCTTTTCACTGCTTTTGTATTATGTTTTTAAAAGTATATATTTTATACTGTTTTGTTTCATTCTTTGCATTGTTTCATGTGGTATTATGTAAACCACTTGGAAAGCCTGGCATGTCAAAAGACACAGAATCAGCTTGCTTAAGTGGGTCCTTGTGTGCATGCACATACACAAATGCACACACACAGAGACATGGCCCCACCAGTGTAGCAGGGCAAGTGGTGTAGGGCTCCAGCTTAGACCACCAAATCTGTTAGCAGTATGCCCTTGGAAAACACAGTATCAAGTACATCTTCATTGGAGACCTTTGTTCCAATAAGAGCATGAATGATCAAATGCCACTGATTTCCTCTTCCTTTCTTTTTTTAGATGAGAATGGAGTCAATTATCAACCCAGGCAACAATATCCTTTGGATTATTCAAGCCCATATAGGCAAGAACCTCATCCCAGCTTTTCAAGGAGTAGATTTCCTCATCTTCCTGCTTCTCCACATTTTTTTAGACAAGAACCGAAGACTCATCAACGTTATTCCTCTGAATATACAGAACTCAGAAGGCCGCCTGTTTTTTGTCAACAGAGTCAAGAGACTCTGAGGAGACATCACTATTCCTTTCCTCCTCCATCTTTTGAAACTATTAGCAATGAGACACATTTTCCACCTTCACCAGTAACATGGGGTTGGCCTCAAGGGTGTACTCAGAATGTTTATGACCCGTTGTTGTCCCTGTTGTCTCTACCACCACCACCACCACCACCACCTTCGATACCACCTCCATCTGCTCCTCCTCCTCCTTAGTTAGGTGACAATTTAATCATCTTTGAGATCTGGATAAGATCACACTTTTACTGAATTGTTGTATATCTTGCATTTTTATAGTATGTTAGTGACAAGGGGAGAATTCCAGTTGTCTATAAAAATATAAATTTAAATGAGTTTTTTGTATCAAATCAAAGTCTGCATCTCTTTTTTGAGAACTTTAATAGACTGTTTAAATTGAGTAAATAATAATGGATAAATATAATGGAAAGCTTTTAACATGGCTATATTTCTTATAGTTTTGCAATCAAAATTGTTGAAAGCATTAGGTGAACTATAAATTTTTACTATAAATCTCTACATTATTTTTGCAGTGGCAGATCTATACTAATATCTTTTGTTGTGTGATCAAAGAAAGTAATTTTCTTTTGAAGTACCTTTGTGAATAAAGATATTCAGCAAGATTAATTTCAGTATGTTTAAATTCTGAGTGTTCAGTTGCCCTGTGTAAATGAATGCCAGGGCATAAAATAAGAAGGTTTTGAACAAAAGCTAAGCAGTTTTAAACTGATCAAGTTTAGAGGAAATGTATTTAATTCTTCAATTTTAAATTGGCAGACTAAATTGATTTAGCACTCAAATAGTGGAGTATAGTGGCAGAAATGATCTTTTTTTTAATGGTGCTCAGAGGTTTATTTGGCCTTGTTAGCACCTTGTTAGGTAAGGGTGCAATACTGTGGGTTCCAGACGTTGTCTGGGATGTGGTAAGTTCTTCAGAGTCCCAGCACACAATGTCCAGGCCCACCCTGCTCATCTTTCAGCTACCATATGAAAAAAACTGCCAGCTGAGACTGCAAGAATGCTAATGTGCCTTACAGAAGAGATAAAATGAGGTTCAGGGAAGGTGGCCGAGGCTGTGTGTATATGCTGATACTATTGACTCTTCTGCACTTTACTAGGCAGCCGAAAATGGCTGTCCAGATAAAATGAATGAGGCAAGGTGTGATACTGCGACAGCACAGAGTGCCACCACTTGGACGTTGCTCCAGCCTCTGAATGCACATAAGCCTAGAATTCTGTCATATAAATGAAATCTGCTGCTGCCGTTGTTAGTTACGAAGTTGTGTCCGACCCATCGCGACCCCATGGACAACATTCCTCCAGGCCTTCCTGTCCTCCACCATCCCCCAGGGTCCACCTAAGTTCACGCCGACTGCTTCAGTAGGGAGAAGTAAACAGCTTGAATTAACATTTCTGTCCTACCTTATTAATATAGCAGGGTGTAGTTGTGTCCTGTGAGTTCACTTGAAGGAAAATCCTGTACAGTTGATACTACCATGTGATTTCTGGGAGACTTCAAATGCTTTAGTGTGCTATTCATACTAACCAAGTGACATAGTATCTCATCTTGTGGCCTATGTTCGAACAGGTGCTTGGTTTCTATGCATACATCGGGTCCAGGTTTCTCCATCTTCCTTCCAAACTGTGGCTGGTGTCAGCCCCTGTGATTCAGACTCAGTCCCAGCATGTAGGGCTCCTGTCTCCCTCACACTGGCCCATATGCTCCCCTGGGCATGGCCTGAACCGTCTGCTTCTATTTTTTTTCCTGCTCAGCAAAGCAACTGCCTGCTTACTAGAGTGGCACTACAGGATCACTCCCTTCTCTTCACCAACGTGCAAGCACACCCACACTCGCCTTTCCTCCTCCCTTGCTACAGATGCATCCATGCCTGTCCCTGTGCAGGACCTCACACCTGCTACCTGGGTTTGCCTTCCCCTGCAGCTAGGCACACAAAGGGTATCAGTGCAGGCAACTGTGCCAGGGTCAGGTGAGGTGTCCTGGGAAAATTTTCCAGCAACTTGTCAAGACAGTTCTGCCGGGTGTGATGGCAGGACTTGTTGAGAGTTCCTAAGAATGTCAGGAAGAAGAGAGCAGCAAAAGGGAGGATGGGAGACTTGAACTTCTTAGGGTGATTGCTGTGATGGCAATGGCCATGCACAGCCCAGGTGCTCTTCTTATGTAAGTTGCCCATCATATTAAGAGATTGCTGGCTCCCTGAGTAACATAAGCACACAGACATTTCAAAGCACCACTCCACAAGTTCAGCGACCAGGTCAGAGTGCCAAGGATGACTGTCTTTGTGGTTGCTAATGCTGGAGGTAGCACGGTGTGATGCCCCACTGCTGGCAAGATCCCCTTGCTTTGGCTGGGCAACTGCAAGCTGTGCACTGGCAAGGCAGAAACAAAGTGTGAAGCAGCCAATCACTGCACTGCTTCCTCCAACTCAGCAGTTGCTTGGCAGATTTGGAGAGACAGGAGTGCCCATGGGAGCTTCTGCTGCAGCCATGGCTGTTTCTGCCGTAAAACATGGTTCAGATTGTAAAACAAGCAACAGTGCAGCAAAGAAACCTAAGAACAAGCCATTGTCTCCATGTGTTTCCATGGAGACCAAACTTGCCATGCTTAACCATGCTTGACACTATGACAAGCCATGTCCTCATGCTTTCCATCATTGCTTGTCATTAGGTATTAATCTGCCCTCTGTGTGTGGGCCAATTATGCACTGTAGGCAGGGAGCGTTGCACCTTGAGACTCAATTTAAGGCACAGTGGATGATGAGACAAATACCAACATTTGGAGGACTGAGCAGAGGCGAAGCCATGATAAATTAGAAAGCAATTGATCTTTCAGATACATCATGGTTCCCCCTTCCCCCTCCATCCATTCACACACAGAAACAATGGTGATCATGCAGGGTTGCTTGCCATGCAAAAGTGCAGCCAGTTTGTTTAATGCATGGCAGGCATCTGGTCTTGGCTCATCAGATGCAAAAGAATGCAAGGATAAGTTGCCTTCCTTAGGGTTAAAGGCAGAGACAAAAAACTTACAGGAATAAACCAGTGTTTTGGGATCACTGGAACAATTTCTGCTTACCTGGACAGGCTCTCAAATCAAGAGGGACCACCTTTATGAAATTATAGTATTTTAAAGAACTGTTAATAGTATACTTAGTGGTTTAAACTAGATCCATCTCTGAAGGCAAAATTAGGCATCAGATGGCTATAATTTTTGTTCTTGGTGTGAACCCCTTATCAGTCCTGGAGCTTTGCTTGCATACTTTGGATGTATGGCAAATTAGACATTTTAAATTGATAAAACAGCTGAGTTCCATTTTAGCTGTTACTGCTATTTGCTATGATGTTTATTGGAAAGGCTGGGTGCTGTTGACACAGCTTTCTTGCATGTTAGGTCTTGTCTATCATTAGCCTGTACCTTGGCTTCTGATTCCTTTTGCTTTGTACTCACCATTCCTCAATGCCTCTAGTCTTGAATTGTATTTGTGGTACTGTCTGATACTGTTTTCAATATCCATCAGGCACTCTAGTATGGCTATTTGGGCTAAAGTGGATTCATTGTTTGGATGAATTATGCTGTCCCCAGTGATTGTTGCCATATACTGTACTTCCAACTAAGCTAGTTTGCTATTCTATTTGTAAGACTATATATGTAACAGAGAGACAATGTGGCATTGTGGTCAGAATGTTAGATTGGGGAGCTGGAAAATCCAGGTTCTATTCTCCACTTGGCCATGAAGCTCCTTGGGTCACTTTGGGTCAGCATCAGACAAACTCACTCTCAGCCTAACCTACTTCACAGGCATATTGCTGTGAGGACAAAACACACTGGAGGAGGATTATGTCAGTTGCCTTGAGCTTCCCTCAAGTGGAAAAAGGGGGAAATATAAATGTACTGCATCATCACTATCTTCATCATCCACAGAGACAACAAGCAGTTTGCCTACCTCTAACTGTGGGTTTTTGACCACACAATTCACTGTTCTCCACTGCTAATATGCCTAATGCCTTCCTCTTGTACTTCCTTATATAGAGGCTGCTGTGATGGTCTCTTAAGGAAGAGCTGAGCAAGAATGGTGTAATTCCCTGAAAGTTTTTCTCTGGAGAATGCAGTGGGTCAGGCACCCCACATTTTTTACTGCCTTTCCTAAAAGGTTTTGCAGCTTGCTTTGTGCAAGCAGATAACTCTAGGAACAACCATTAGCAACAAATACCCTGCTTTTCTTAAGCTTTCCACTTTCTTTCTTAAGGCTTCTCACTTTTTGCATTTTAAAACAAAGCCTTGTTGGACCGCTGACTGTGCAGGAAACTTGTTGTTTACAGTGGTTTCTTCTCCTGTGAACTAAGCTAAAAAATCTTATATTCACAGTGGGTTTGTCAGCAATGATTCGACTCTCATTGAGCTCCACTGTCTCCTGCTGATGTGCCTCTCCCAGAGGCCAATTACAGCAACAGTGACATTCTACAGAAGCCTACTGTTTGACATGCTAGTCAGCTTTGGGCTTGATGGAGCAGCAAGAAGCGGGCTGAATCAGAAGGGAAGTGCCAGCATTTAAATACTGCTTGAGAAGAGCATGGCCACGGAGAACATGTCAGACCAGGAAAGGGAAGAAAGAGATTGAAACAGACCTGGCAGAGCTCAAAGGCAGGGGCATAAGAAGAATGGGGGCAAGTTTAATTTGGGACATGGAGGGGAAGCAGAGATGGAGGTAGCTCTGTGGAAGAGAGACAAGCTGGGTAGAGCAATGTACCAGTTTTGTACATACCGGAAGGAACTCTTGGGAAATGCCTGCTGGCTTGAAGTGCTTTTGGGAATTGGCGCTGAAATGCTATGCTCCTAGGTCCATCTAGCTGACCTCAGTAAATGTCACAGGAACTCAAGATACACTTGGGGAAGAGTTCTGCCTCTATCCTAATGGAAGGCATAACCAGAGAGGGCAGTACAGCTCCTTGCATGCCTCTGTTTGCTTTTCTTACACTGTGCTATAATACAACAATGCCACAGTACAGTCTGATTCTTGCTATTTGTAGCATATCATTTTCACTGTACCTTTGTAGGATGGGGAATTTCCACTCCCGTCTTCACTCTTTGGCTCAGAGTTTTATCCAACTGTGCTGATCCTTGAATAGGTGCAGGCCTTCCACCTCTGGAAGTGTCTCTGACAGCAGTGCACAACTGTGTCTCCCACAAAAGCCTTTACTGCAACCCCAAAGGGTGTCCTCCAGACCTTGCATCTCCATAGTACCCCCATCTGTGTTCTCTGACCACAGTCCAAGAGGTTCCCATATAGATTGCTCTTTCTCTTCCACTATCAACGGAGTTGAAAGTGTGTCAGAATTGCTGGTGCTTGTGCATGTATTTCTGTGTATGCTTGCATAGACATGTGAGCAGCTTTCTTTCTTCAAAGCAGAATTGCATGAGGGCCTTGGGACTAAAAAAGCCCTTGGCCCTTGGGGCCCAGAAGCATTTGCTCACAGAAAAGAAGAAGAGATGATTTTAGCCAATTCACCCTTCTCCTGTATCTCCCGGTGCCACCTTCCATGTTGTTCTTGGGATCCCCCCATCTTCTAGAACAGAAATGCTCAGTGACTGAGCTGTAGCAGGGAGAGAG